CGTCCCAATGGGACGCATATTTGACCATACATTACAGTTTCGACAACAAATAACAGACTCTGACAGTTCAATGCACTGTTGCCACACATTACTCCTCACATGGCACCACCTACATCCCAGATGAATCTAAAAACATTAACATTTACAAACAGACTATGACATGTCTTGATATCATGTTCAAAATTTTTGCCAAATCCGAAACTTATCGCCTCCGCAACTTCGTGTGAGACAGATGAGCGGCAACGCCGAACCCTGGCTGTAAGAAAGTAAACTAATCCCCCAAACTGATTGCTTTAGAGTAGGTTACATGACGTAGCACAGCACGTGGAGAGAGAACTGTCAGAGTCGCTTTTATGCTACCGGTTCTTTAAATATTAACACATTTTGCGGACTCCTCTGATCTGCAGTCAGCAGAAATCGAGGCTCTTCGCAACAATACAATACATTACAATATACAAATACATGAGAGATAAGGGACAAACTTTTTAAAAACAGCTCTAAATCATATCTTCATCGGATTTAGCAAACAACGCTAAAAAAAGACGCAGGTCGTATTTTCAGCAAATTCTCTGCATTTCAAAAAATAGCATATAAATTAACATTTCAGAAGCACAATATTGTTGTTAGAGATATTTTTCCTTAATGAAATCTCTTCTATATACTCGATATTTAAGGTCATGCACAATTTTTTGAAAAAAAAATGACAATAGTTTTCTTGTAATTTTTGCTTGAAATACTGGAAATGTATAGCTCTTTGTTCTGAAAAATTGCTCCAACAATTCTTTAAAATCTTTTTCCTCTCTCTGAGAAACGACAGTTTAAAAATTGTCTGTCTCATTTTCGTTGAACACTCCAAATTGTAAATGTTACAAATATTGCGAGAAAGGATGTGCTGTTTGGGCACCTCTAGTACGAGTTATAAAAACAAATACTTGTAGAAAACAGTATATTTTTACTAGTATATATTTCATAAAAATAATCCTTTAACTTGCTTAATAACGGATACGACTTCAGTATGTATCTCTGCTTACGACAACAAATACGCTTGTGTCTATTTCGTACCTACAATCATTGGATCCATATGATCGGATCATTGCATTCATATACATACGGATGCATACATATTCATTAGAGCTGAATATTACGCACTTACTGCGACTTACTAAACATCAAGTTTGAACACATTGTTGTAGTAAAGTTAACCTCACATTTGTGCCCTGCGAAGGGATTCATAAGGTCGAACCTTACGCTGGAGGAACATCGATAAAGTTCTGAAGACAGTTGCGTTACTAGCTTCGTAGGGTCAAGACTTACAAATGTGCAATACTCCCTAATGGCACAATAGAGTATACCAAAACTACTAAAGCACCAGTTATAGTTTATCCGGCTGATGTTATATATTGCCGTGGCGTACATAGTGATACATCTTATTTTCCTTCAGGAAAACTACTTTAACGAAAGAGAAGCAGTTTATTTCGCGATCAAGCACAGTGTTTTACTCTATATACCTGACATTATGAAGTATCTTCATGAAATTTTTACTCGTAAAAATATAGAATTTACTAATCATATTTCTTCACTTAATTAAACATTTATTTCTGAGACCTTTTGATGTCAGTTTCATTGTGCTACGACGACGTAGCATAAGAATGCAAACATGTCGATTTCAGTCACATGACTTACATGGCCACATGATACGAACTGTTTCGTTGATCAACAATTTGGTAAGTGATGCAGCTGACAGAACGGAATGGCCCGTAGAAAAAATAATAAAGGAAAACGTATCATTGAAACAAAGTCTCAAAAGTACGCTTTATTATAACAAAAGAGGAATAAATTCTGTAATCCTTTCTAAAAATCCCAATACTTTAGAGCCTTCACTAATTAAGATCTCCTTAGCCCCTGATCTCTTTAACTGCACTGCTGGGTGAATTCTCGTATTTCCCTCTTTCTTGTTCACGTATCCCGTATCGGATGACTACTTGGCGTCTGAAGTGGCCATCACAACCTCCATCGTCTCTTTAGCGCTCTCTTGTCACCAGCTATCCAACCTGTCCTTTTAGTTTCATTCTGGTGCTTTGTGTATCCTCTCTCCATTTACTAATGTTGCTTCCAAGACGGTTTTCCTCCCTGCCTCAACAGTATGTGTGTGCGTGTGTTTATTTTAGGTTTGTTTTTGTTCTTTGTTAGCAGTAAACTCCAAGAGCGCTCCAGACGGCACAATTTTGAACCAAGCGACTGCGCGTCCCACCTCAGTACACAGCTTCTTTCAGAACTTGTGTACATTTCCTTGAATGGAAGGACATTTCGTGGTAGCTCGTGACAAGTCATGTGAATAGATCGTGTAGAATGTCATGTTGTAGAAAGTAAATAAGAGAAAGTTTTTAAAGAAAACGAATCTAGAGAAACAGTTGATATAAAAGAGAAACGACAAAGTATTGTGCATTTCCATAAGGAATAATGCAATAGTGACACAGAAAAATTTCTTCTGAAGTTATAGAGAACTTGCATAGTGCATTAATGGATTGAACTAACTGATTAGTGTAAACAAATTTATTAAAAAATAACATTTGAAGTGAATTAATAATTTTAGTCACCATCAATACCATACTTCGGTGATCGCTTCATTGACCCAACATTTGCCGGAGTTGGGATTTGAATTCATGAAAGTATTTTTGCGACAGGCACGCTAGACATTATCGTTAAACGTTTCAGATTTCCGGAGACACGCAAACGCATCCATTGTATTCAGAAACAAATTTCGAGTACGATTTAAGCGCTAACATTGTTCACAGTTGGATAAAGCGACAGACATTTTGCATCCGACACCCTCAAAAGAGTATTTTCATCAAAATTCCCACATAGTTTTATGAAGAATGGCAGCCTTCTTTTCTACGTATGAACTAGTGACTGAGAGAGTGAAACGAAAACGAGATGAGGAGGTGATATTAAAACAAAAAGGCAGTCGGATATTTTAAATTCAATTAAAGGTTGCCCTGATCTGTTGAAAGTAGTTCCCTTTCCCCTTCGTTTTTCTTCTTAATCCTCTTCTTTATTTTATTCATAGAGATTAAAGACGTTTCTTAATGGTCGATAATGTGCTGCTACTACGTACCTTTATCACTTACGGCTGATTAAAAATGATCTACTTTCCTGGCTGCTCCGGGCAATGACACACGCGTACCTGATGGAGGCGCAGCAAACAAAGGTCCTGCCGTTACCTATTCTTTTTTAATTTTGTATTATAGGAACAATTATAAAGAAATAAAAAGAATTGAATACGACTTATACAGATTCTTTATTTACTCCAGAAAAGCTATTCACTCGCTCCTATCGTCGCTCTTGATGTAAAACTTACTCTCGGAGATAAAGTACCTCTTTGTTGTCTTGCGTAATAAATAGCTATTCTTTTTTTGTGTGTATAGTTTCGCTATCGCGGAGAATAGACTCCGGCACTGGGAGATCGTGAATAAAAGCGAATAACCAATGTTGGGTGCGAGGGAATTGTTTTGTAATTTGAATGAGAATTACGTGTTTTAATGAATTAAAAATTAAAATTTTTTTGGCATAAAATACGTTGAAAATTACACGTCTTCGAAATAAAATTGCTTAGGATATTATGCTTTGGACAGACTTACGTATGTTTTATGTCTATTGCGAAGGCCGGAGCTCGTCATGAAGTAGGAGACTCATAGCTTCCCGTTAACACCCCCATACTCACATCCTTCCCAACTCTCAATCTCTCATCTTCCCCATACTTCTCCTCTATACGTCACGTTCTGTTTTTACTATATTTTTACGTATATAAGTTAAATTAAATCAAACTTACCCTAAAATTTTGAGGCCGTAAATATGTCGACATTCAGCTCGCGGAACAGTGTAGTCACCATGTTTTCGCAGATATTAGCCATTTACTTTCATTATGATATGGAAAATGAGCCTTGTTTTCATTTCCTTTTCCGCTAAGAAATGTGGCACCCGCCCAAATCTCTCTTCCTTCTGCAACCTTACATAACTGTTTCCTTCTCGTTGATTGATTGATTGGTTAGGGATTCCGAGCGCGCCAATTGCTAAGGTCATTAGCCCTCAAAATGCAGTGCATTTTTATCGCGGAAAGTGACGGTGATCTTCCCACTCTAAATGGCAAAACCCGGCGCCGGGCTACGTTGGCTTGCGGAGTTTTTCCTTACCAGGTATCGCCCAACAGCGAGGCACTGCCTCAGACAACTGGTATTCCTGGTGATATGAAGCATGTAAGTGTATGAGTAAATAAAGGGTGAGGATAGGACAAGTAAAAGGAAAGAAAGATCGGGTGAAGTTTGTGGCCCGTTTGGGTACTGCTCTGGCATTCATCTGGTGTTGACCGGAGAAACCACGGTATACTACCGATTAAAGCAGCCAGCCGCTAGAATTCTCCTCCACCCTGCGGCTGAATTCGACCAAACTGACAAGCTAGTGTTGAAAATATCGCCACTGGACTCGAACCTTAGAACCTGCCGATGAGAGGCATTGCACTCTCCTCGTCCTCTTCCTCCTCCTCGTCTTTCTCTTGCCCGTTCTCCTACTATCCGTCATCCTCGCCTCCGTCATCCTCGCCTCCGTCCTCCTCGTCTCCGTCCTCCCCGTCCTCCTCCCCGTCGTCCTCCTCCTTTCCGTCGTCCACCTCCTCTCCGTCGTCCACCTCCTCTCCGTCCTCCTCCTCCTCTCCGTCCTCCTCCTCCTCTCCGTCCTCCTCCTCCTCTCCGTCCTCCTCCTCCTCTCCCTCCTCCTCCTCTCCGTCTTCCTCCTCCTCTCCGTCCTCCTCCTTCCCCCTCCTCGCCCTCCTCCACCGCCGGTGGCTCACCCGTGATGCGGCCGACGCGCCCCGCGCCCTGCGCCGCCGCCGCGGCCGCCGCCAGCCCGGCCACGTGCGAGCCCAGGCTGAAGCCCAACAGGTGGAAGTGGCTCAGGTCGGCGGCGTGGTCGCGGGCGAGCGCCGCCAGCAGCGCGCCCACCTTGCCCGCCGCCAGCCTCGTGTTGGCCGCCGCCGACGCGTACCACGGCGCCGCCGCCAGCGCCGCCCAGTCCACCGCCAGCACGTTGTAGTCGCCCACTTCCAGGAACGCTGCGATAGATTAATTGATTAGTGATTGCAGTTTAACTGCTAAGGTCATTATTCCCGTGTGTGTACTGCATATGTTTTTCCCGCTGGATGGCGCCGACCTAGCTCATAGGGTTTCGCTCAACCAGGTTTTTGTCACCAGTGGGACACCGCCCTAGCCGGGACAAGCTCTAAGCTCCCGACAAGTCTCCCCGCATTTTCGGTAGTGTAATATATGTAAGTGTAAGTAAGGAATGAAAATAGAACAATCATGAGGAAGGAAAGATCGTGCGCGGACCTGACCCATTTGCCGACTGCCCCTGCATTCGCCTCATGTTGATCGGAAACATCACAGATAACTACCAATTAGAGCAGCTACAATTATCTTTCAGACAGGGACTGAATTCAATCTAGTTATCTAACTAGTGTCAAAAATCCTGCCACCGTCGGGCCTTCGGCCAGACGCAGTGCGGTGACATCAGTTGATGCTCTGAGCCACCTCTTCCGGTAGGAACGCTGCGAGACAACATACGTAGTAGTGATAAGAACGAGGGATTGGATGACCGCTCTTTCGTCAAGAATCGTTCGAGCAACATTTTCAAGTGTTCTATTCTGAAGAATTCACCCGTAAACCACAATTCTATTATTTAATATACTTTGAAAATCACAAATAGCTGCAGGTATGTAAAAATAACAACACTCTATATAAAAGTTTCTTGGTTAATTATATATCTTCCCCCACTCATTACACACACACACACCACTAACCACACACCCACCACACACACACCACACACACATCCATGTGGATAGAGAACATCGGATTATAGGGGGAGTTTTTACAAAAAATATGATATTATGTTGCGACATAAAATATGATATTATGAATTAAACGATTCATAAATGCATATTATGTTTGTTTCCTTCGAGCGAGTACTAAAACATTTATGATTTATGAAATGTTAGTTACATTATTTACAAATATCCTTTTTCTCCAGAACCGTCACGATAGTTGTGTTCCACCAATCACAGCACAGATACCACCCTAATTGTCGAACGATTCCAGTGAGACATTATATCGGTCTAAAAAACAATCATACTACCGGTTCAACCAACCATTTGGTACCTTTGGATCCCATCAATAACAATAAGTCCTTAGACACAACGAGTAGCGCATTTCTTTGTCCCGCCGATTCCATCATTTTGTATCCAAAAGTCAGAGAAATTTGAACTGTGTAATGTATGTATTGGGAGCCACCAATTTATGAAAAACAATATGTTCGAAATGTCTGAAAATTTTAATCGTGCCTCCAATTGTTATAATTTCTTGTCAATTCCTGTATTCTGCCAGGCGGAGATATCCAGTGAGAGGATATTAATTGGCGGCGTTTGTACTGCTCTCTGAATCAAGGGACTCTACACACACACCTCACCACACACACCACACCATGTAAATTGTGGCCTTGCAATGAGTCCCTACTATGCCTTCGTTGCAGGTTGTCCGCTTTCCTTAGGAGAGGTACAGGAGGAGGGCTTCAAACGCCATTTCATACGGTCGTGTTCGCGCAATCTGAACCGAAGTTGTTGCAAATTGTTGTGCGTAAATTTCTATGGCAATTATTACCGTAAGTGTAGTACATGTTATGTTGTGTGGGGTGTAGCGACGTTCTTCCCAAATAGAGCTTGAGATCGGGCACTAATCTACAGCTTGCCAGGGTTTCTTCTTGTGGTGTTATGGGGTTTCCCTCGCTAGGTATCTTTGCTATCGGGGAACCGCCTTCATTGGGACAAACTCTAAGCTATCGATTGATCTTTTGACGTATGTGGCTGTGTAGTGCGAGGAAACGTGTATGTGTGTAGTGTGTGTGTGTAGTGTGTGTGTGTGTAGTGTGTGTGTGTGTGTGTGTGTGTGTGTGTGTGTGTGTGAGAGAGAGAGAGAGAGGAGAGATAATGATGAGCAAGGTAAGATCGGCACACGGTCTGAAGCCCCTTTGTTAACCCTAACAAAGGGTCTGGTCTGAATTTGCCTGGTATTGATCGAAAAAAACACAGAAATCTTTTGATCAGAACCGTCTATCACTAGAATTCTCTTCCAGACAGCCGAATTCGACCTAGACATTTGGTTAGTGTCGAAAATCCTCCACCGTCAGGACTCAAACACAAGGACTTCCACGTCAGAGTCGTGCAGTGGTAATTGTTGCCCTGAGCCAAGACCGCCGGTAGACTGTGACGAGTTTGAACACAATGACAGATACGTTACGACTGGATGACCGTCTAGACAAGGTTACTTGATGTTCAAAACAAACAGACATCCGTTTACTAGCAACGCTATCCCGCTGGCTAACATTACGCTCTGAGTCAAACATATATCAACTGTAACAGTTGATTAATGGCGTACCGTATGTATACGAAAAGAGCCTCTGCAATGCGAGTACGTATGTTTCTGAGTAAGATATATGTGCCGATAAAACGTACTATAAGACGTCGTGTACCTTGTCTACATAAACAATATTGTTGATTAAATGTATGCATTAGAACATTCTGAACAGGGGCTTATGTCTCATTCTGAATATTATATTCTTTCTCTCTCCAGGTGTTTTCTTGTGGTACCTAATGATAAAAGATGACACCCCAACTTACAACTTCGTATCCTTTACCAGGAAAGTATATCGTTTCAGATGTAAATACATGTGAAATATATTTTTTTAAATAAAACTTACGCTGAGTTTTAATCAACGGTAAATTTTATTTGTTAGATGGGATAAGTGTTTTTAGAATGGAAATTATATAATTATTATCTTTTCAAATGTTATTTTCTTTGGCTTGATTTCCCTAGTTTTCTTTTATTTAATAGATGCTGATATTACTACCGCAAATTTTCTTGATCGGTAGATTGAAGAAATGCGGGTAGAGCGAGAAAATATAAGTGATCCTAGTGAGCAACGATGCACATTTAACTCAATACCAAAATCAATACAAATGCAACAATATCATTAAAAATAAACACAAATAGGCAATTAAATTTTATTTGAAAAGCAAGAATTAAAAATGTCACTTCAAAAATACCAACTTATTTCAAAGAAATGATTAGATAGTGAAGACTGTTGAGTTTACTCTAAGTTGCATGTGACGTGAATAAAACTGAATGTAGCCTGACCGATTATTATCAGCGTATCTCAACGTGTAAACAGCGGTCTGGTCTCTTTCTCTTTAGTGTACTTACTACGGTATCAGGAAAAAATAGGCAATAAAACGCACACCCATGACTATCAGCGTCGATCTATTAGTAGAGAGTTATGGTTAAAAATCAAACGAACAGAGGAAGACGTACGAAATGCTCTTGCAAAGCTGTGAGCACGCTATGGGCTGCTTCCCTTGCTGAATGTGTGAGCAGTTTGAATAAAAAACATCGTATTACTATTCCTTCTACTCGTACATGTCAAAATGCCAGATTAGCTCACGTTTCATATCACTGCTTAAATAAAATAATTGTAAAAAATTCAAGAAGTAGATAGAAATAGAAATATTCTTTTCATATTTTCCCGCGATATTACTACTAAATGTCGTATCTAGATGAACACAAAATATGCAGAGCATGAGTGGAAAAATCACAAATGGGTTCACACAAAAAATCACAACAGATTGGGTTTCGTGTTTTTTCAACTGATGCCATGCAATTGACGCTCTATGCAACTGGCACAAGACAGAAGAACATACTGTTTGTCACTGATACCGAACCCATAGTGGCATTGCATTGAACATCAGAGGGAAGTTACAGACAGCTGATTAGCGGTAGTATGGAGGCAGCACATAAGTCAAACAGTAATTTTTTTTTTACTTCGCGGACAGCTGTTGATTGTTTAATGTGTGTTACCGGGCCCGTCAACTGCCATGGTCAATAGTCCCGTTACTGTACTGATTGGTGTATCCCAGAAAGTAGCGGCACTCATCTCTCACATGTGTGATAGTGTAGTACATGTAAGTGTGTGTGGGAAGAGGGGAGAGGATGGGACAAAGAAGAGGAATGGAAAGATCACCCCCGGCCGGTGGCCCGTTTGTTAGGGTACTCCTCCGGCATGCGCCAGGTATAGTTCGGAGAAACCACAGAAACTCTCGATCAGAGTAGCAGACTGCTATAATTTTCCTTCAGTCAGTGTCTAATTTCGTTCCACCTAGCCGTGAGGCTAGAGCCACTCTTTCAGCCCCTCGTCGAGTCCCGGCCAGAGAAGCTACAAATCAGCGGCAATGCTGACCAACTCAGAAGGTGTATCAACTCTAACTTGCTTCTCCTCACAGAGGCAACTTCGTGGCGGGTGGTGCACCGTCCGTGACAGCCCCCGCCGGCCCGCCGCCTCGCCCGCGCCCGCCGCCCGCAGCCCGCCGCCCGGCCGCCCGCCGCCCGCCGCGCCCGCCCCGCCCGCCTGCCGCCGCCAGCGCCGCGCGCAGCCGGCGCCGCCCGCCGCCCGCCCGCCCGCCGCCCGGCCGCCCGCCGCCCGCTACCGCTACCGCTACCGCGCCGCCCGGATTTCGTCCCTGACCTACCCTTGGCGCATCACGTGAGCGTAAGCGTCCGAGAGTCGCCTGCGTCTGCACCTGTGCCTGCGCACACGCTCCGTTCCGCACACGCGCCACCGCCCGCTCGCTCGCTCTCCGCCGCGCATGGCAGTCACACTGCTGGGCGCAAGCTCTTGATTGCCTGTTGTTAACTAGCGCAGTCCAGCGCTTCGAGATACGGCAGTGGATGTGCAAGATATTTGCGCATTGAGGAATCAAAGAATCTCATCATTAGATCTTCCGTCTGAGTGTCAAATTTTGCTAATGCCAAGTTATGGAATGTCGTTCATCTGTAATGAGGACGTAGTTGCCCCCAGAAAAAAGCCGATGGCAAAATGAAATCTTGGTTTCCCACATTTGAATATTTCACTATTATAATAGTTGTAAAAGTATCTTGAGATGCGTGAGATACCATTAAGAGAAGATAGGAAAAATCAATGAATTCATATATCAACAGAGATTACGCTTTCACATTTACTATTTCCATGAACTCCTGCGTTCAATATCTCAAGAGTTGTCAACATTACTATACGTAATGTGCGATTACATTATCACATTTTTCTACCATTTTTTAAATTTTTAGTTTATATTTCTTAATCTTTTTTATAAAATGCTAACATGCCCTTTCTTATATATCCAAGATTTATTAGAGCGCCTTTTTTAATCCGAATAAATGACTGCCTCGATGGCAATCAATGGATGAGCTGCGACTGAATACGCGGAGGCGAAATACGTTGGAGTCCCTTGTAAAGCATTGACATTTTCGCAGTGTTCGTCGATAATCGTGTACTAATGTATTTGAACCGTGTAGTTCTGGCCTTCTATTATATATATAGGCAGTGCTTATTAAGAAAATTTTATGCCACAGAATTCGCTCCAAAAGTAATTATTAATTTAATACAAGCAGTTACTTATTTATACAATAATTAAATAATGATAAATAATACTTAATATCAATTAGTAACTGTGAGAGCACTGGATCTATGTGAATATAATGATAATAATAACAACAAAAAATTACAAGTTTATCATAATATTTTTTGTTTAATTAATGTTTTTACTAATACGTTTCCTACAAATGATATTGTTAAATGGCAAATAATTTAATTTTTGAGTTAACGAAAGCGGGTCGAACTACAAATCGATTTATTTTTCATTATTTATATTTTTCATTATTTATATTTATAATTTACATTTTTATTATTTATATATCATTCCCGAGGTACCGGAACACCGTTCCGTCGCGTTCCACCAGAAATGAAGCCATTGCTATAAATAATTAATTAGTGGAAACTTTATTTATGATATGTTCCATTTCCCTCTCGGGAAATACGCTGAAGCTCCTGCCTCTTCCACGCAGAGAAAGACATTGGCACGCCACCACTATGATCGGATTCGCTCAAGGCTTTCCGCCACCTCGGCCGTTGCCACGCATCCGCCCAGGGCGCCCCCAGCCGCACCCTCCGCTGCTCACGGCGGTCCATCTGTTCGTGACTGCACACCTCCCTCAATTGCGGGAAGGCACCCAGCGAAGCGAATTACTTACAGAGCCTCATTAAAATGCAATAGACGGGCTGTAATTGTCTCTTGTTTCCTTGCAGCTGAACACCAGAACCACATTAGAACTGAAGAGCTTTGCAGTACAAGATGCTGCTCTTTACTTTCAACGGCTTTAACAAATGTAATTCTGACAGCCAAAAAGGAAAGTGAGATTTTCTAGACCCAGGAATTCATTTGCAAGGCATTTGGGTTAGTTTGTAAGTGAAAGAAAATATCTTCATCCGCAGAGCAATGTGCCTCGATTCGTTTATAGAGCACATGGGATTCTCTCAGGGGGTGAATACCTTTTGACCAGATGATTTATCACGTGGTTAAAATGAGCAGACAGTTGAACAATAATTAGAGTCAATATAATGAAATATTTGTTCGATCATCTCTATTATGTTCCTTGGTTTCTCGGTATAAATACTTTTAATAATTATATTACTTATTATTGTTCGCTTCATAATTTAAAATTTAATAATACTATTACTGTTCATATATTTCGAATGATCTTCAATCCGTTGATCTGGAGGTATTTCTTGAGATACTTCATCTAAATATGAGTCCTCAGTTTATAAAAATGGAGATATTTCAATCACATCATGCATCAATAGTGCGAGTACATTGTAGATTCTCAAGGCCGGTTGTAAAGGGTAAATCATATTACTACCCACAAGTCTGACAACAGTCACACAGTTCTTCAGTATTTTGTGATGAGAGCATTGTTATGAGTTATAGTGGACACCAACCGATTGTAAAAATAACATTAAAAATATGTATTTACTTCCTCAGTACTTAAAAAAATATTTCACAAAGCAAACGAACAGGGTGTTTGTGGCACTCCTAAACACCTTTGAAAAACAGTTCTTTGGCGCAGATGTTTTTAACTCAAACGAACATTTTTTTCGCTAAGCCCTTCAATAGAGCTTCATTTACATAAAGTCAACAAATATGAAAGTTTTACAAAACAAGAGTTGCAGAATAATGAGTTCATTTCTGCGCGTGGATAAAATAATGAAACTCATTAAGTTACCTCTGCCTCCCTACACGATTCTAACTCGAGGTAATTTCTATCCTAAACATAATTTCTTCATTATTTTATGGTAACTAAGCAACACATATAGAAGCAATCACACTTTTCCATACCGGATATCAAGGAACCCGGATATGACGCAAAATATACACGTGAATGAAAATCAGATGCTTACTCCACCATAACCTTAATTAACTACATAAAAATGTGAGGAGAAATGTGTGATTTTTTAAAACGTATGTCGGATTTGTCTTCTCATGGAGCATTCTTGTATGTGCGTCTGTGAGTCACACACTTGCATGGGAATTGAAAGATAACTAGAATATGTCTGTGTGAATGTATTCTTCCGGTTCTGATGCGAGTCTTCCGTCTAATCGGTCATTGACTGGAGATGCCTCACCGTGACGCTAAGTGATTTTTCCGTGATCGTTGCAGTGCTGCACGCGGAAGCACGCAGTGCATTGCGGTGGTAGCGTGGTGAAACGCGGCATGTGCATCGAGTTATATCTCCTGTGATAGAGATGCCCGGGAGACCATGATGCGCTCTACTTGTCTACGTGGCAATCGCCAATATTTTCTCTCTCCCCTTACACCACACCGCACATTTCTATCGACTAGTTTAAAATAAAGGATCAACAGGATTTCTCCTTGTGATCTCACCTTCACACGATGTGGGAAGAACCTAAAAATAATACAAAGAACATGAAGAATGGAAACAAAAAACAACAATACATTTTCAGATTCATTGATTTACAATCACAAAACACCTATTTTTATTCAAAACAGATTGGTTGGCCTTTACGAGCACAAATATTGGAAACAACAGTGTGTACAATTTAAGCTCGAAGGCTGTTCAAACGAAAATTGAATTTGATTGAATATATTACACGTACTACTATTTTCCTTGCCGGCCCAAACTTTGTTCGTGTTACGGTAGGATTTGTGTTAAGCTAGTTCATGCTAATGAGGGTTTACTGTAATTATAAACTATAGATGACGATAATAGCAACAACAATGTAATATATGCAATGATAATGTTATAATGCATCTCTGATATATAGTGGAGGTAGCAAAGTGAAAATATGCCAATTTCAGTTCAAAGGATAGAGTGTACTTTGGATATACGTGGACCTAGTATCTCATTATAACAAACGGAAATTATGGATACTCTACCGGGTATTGTATATACTAGTCAAATAACAGATTCATAGGAAAGTGCAAGAATATTTGCAGCCGCATGCTGTCACAAATCGAGGAAGCTCCCGATATTGAGAAAAGTAGAATCAGCCATATGCAGAAATGGAATGTAAAAACAAGAGGAAATACACTTTAAAAATGCCATAGCGTGTCAAAAAAAACAAAGTTTTCATTTTTTATAGTTTTGAAGGTAGTCATTATTACTGTCACAGTTCGTTTAGAGATTTATCAAATATCAATGAAATGAAGTTCATAGAGAGAAGTGCAATTATTGATTTTTTTAAAATTAAAACAATGTTTTGTTACATGGGGATGCGGAGGACGAAAACTCAAATTTCACTTCATTTGTTCTAACGAGGACATCTCTATCTTGCAGGGAGAATAATTCATTTATTTCGATAGAAAATTGTGGTTATTACAATAATTTGAACTTGAAGCAGTGAATTTCCTTTAAGCTTCTCTTTTATTGGGTCCGTCTGTTTTTGATCATCGGTAGCTTTGCCATTGCCTCTGCAGCATCATATATTGAGATGTTCTAGAAATAGAGCCTCGTCGACGGATTTTCGATACTAGGTGCTTGTCTGGAGGAGTATTCTAGCGGTTAGCTACACTGACCGGTAGTTTCTGTGCTTTTTCCTCCCAATGCAAGGCGAATGTCACTGTTGTACCTTCACAAACGAGCCAAGGACTGCCCGCGATCTTTCTTTCCTCGTTCTTTTTCCCGCCGCCTCCTTCCCCTTACACTCACCACCTTACATGTACTACAGTACCCCACATGTCGGGAGATGTGTTGAGAGCTTAGAAATAGTCTGGGCTGAGACGCTGACCTATTGGGGGAGATACCTGGAGGAAGAAACATCTCGCAAGCCAAAGTGCAGGTCTGCGGCAGGTCCATTGTTCCACCGGGTGAGGAATACCACCACTATCTTTAGGGATACAACATGCCCTAGACTTACAGGATTGATCACCGTGGCCGCTGACGAGCGCGCAAACCCCACCTTATCAATCAATGAATGAGTAAGTGCATGTTTGAAGGGAGGCCGGGCGCTGGGAGCGTGGGAGCACTGACCGTCGCGCAGCACGGGGTACATGTAGGAGGCGGCGGCGCTGTCCCCGAAGCCGTGCACCAGCAGCACGGAGGGCCGGTCGGCGCTGAAGCGGCGGAAGTGGGGCTGCGGGGCGCAGTGCGCAGCCAGGCGCAGCCGCTCCGCCTTGCGCGGGTTCTCCCTGCGCACGCCACACCCCAAGGATGAAAGCGCAGCCGCACACTGCAAGCTGGATGCTTTATTTATTTATGTAACGTCGAAAATATTTTGAAACTGTGTAACATACTGCGGGGAAAATTACAATACATGCGTGGTTTCTTGAGCTCAGGGATGCCTGTTCTAACTCACATATACATTAAGTTGAAAAATGAAAACTCGTAGCAATCAGTGTTTTCATCATGAATTGACATGAAAATATTCGCTACCGTGTTACTCGTATAAATACGATTTGCAAAGGAAAATCAGCTACAAATGTAGGCTATTATCGCTAGCCCTTTACGTGAAGGAATCAACTATCTGTCGCGATAAAATGGAAAATGATTAATCGAATATTTACATTCCCCAAAGAGCTCAAGAAAACATACACAGATACTGAAGTAACATTGAGGTGCAGAACAAAATATTGGAACATCTCAACATCTGCTTGAGGAACAGGGAAACTGAACGAAAGATCTGATCGAGATGGGGATGATTGACGCATAATCTGAGCTACAATGCCTGTTACAGGTTTCTTTGGTTATGTTGACCTTGTTTATTTAGCAGACAATTGGATTCAATGACTCATTTCATTGACGCGTCATGAATACGTCGTTGGTATATTTTTTTAAAATTAATACTAGAGTTAAAATTTTAATTAAAAGTTCAATGTTTAAAATTATCTGACTTAATAAAGAAGTGAGACTCAAGGATTTATTTTTTATCTATTTGTAACCCTACATGGTTCCACTCACCCTGTAGCATAACAAAATAAGTGCGGGGCCAACTGCAAAACATTTTTCTTTGCACCCGTTATAAAACTGCAAAGCTAACACAAGTAGTATCTTAAATAATAAAAATATTCTCTAACAGCAGATCCTCTCTTGTGGGCCTTGCGAGCCCACGTTACGCTACTACACCCTCCATTGGAGGCAAAAGTCATTGGAAAAGGTTGAGTTGGAACAATGTTTGAAATGTTGGAAAAGGTTGAATACATTTAGAATTAAAACACTAATGTAAAGAGGCATTGAAACTAATTGTGAATGAAATAAAACAAGGCCGTCAACTCATATTTTTAAATTAATATAAACTATGTTAACATATACCTTCATTAATCTAATTAAAAATAGATGTGGTAGTGTAAGGCTGAGCTACCACGTAGCTCCCAGGCGTACGAATTACAGTTGTGCCACCAGCCGGTATAGTCACCTCTTTTTCTTACTAATCCGGGATAAGCATGCTGGCCCCGTAGTCACCACGCCCAGCATGGCCTAGATAAATGAAACAGTGGGGACCCGTCGACTAAGTGATGTTATGGAATGGGGGGGCGAGACATTTGTCTATGGCCGCACCTGGGGAAATTCAGCATTAACCATGGGTTGATAAGACAAGCACAAGAAAATTTAAAGTTGGAGAGAGAGAAACAGAAGAAGAAGAGTATCTAAGAGTACAATGCATAGAATGACTAAAGATAATATTTATTTGTGTCAAAAACGAAAAGGAAATGTATTATTCAAGCGCAAGACCGAAAAACATTACTTTTTGGATGGGAGGATTACAATTTGTTTTGTATATACATCTATGTATCTTAGTCAACAAATGTTTTCAAGTGTCGATTATTCCAAGTATCGAATGAAGTTGGAATAATTAGTTGGTATCGTCACTTGCAGGTAAGATTACACAGTGAAGGGCACTTTAAGGGCAACCAATTTTTTTTATCCAATATGTAATAATTGTTTATTTTAACAATAGAAAATTCATAGTTCCAAATGAATTACTACATATGTTTACTTCAAATGAATTACTACATTTATTAGGCTTGTAAATTAAATAGTGGAACATTGCATTTCATATTTTATAAAATATGAATGAAAAATAAGGCAGAAAATATAGTGATGAGGACTTTCAAGACTATCGTAGGCACTTTGTAATATAGTGATGATCACTCAGAAAAATGGATTGTAGGGCTCAACTAAGCCAAACAGCATTACTGAATGGATTGTTACCACTGGTTTATTAAGGTTCAGACGTCATAACATTTTACAAACAAACAACATTTTTCGACGTCGGAATCACTTTCCTCTACAGAATATTCTGAGGAAAAGCATTATTTGCGAAATCCCTTTTGGACAAAATTGGCAAAACACACCGTAGTTCTTAAAATTTTGTGTGTTTTCCAATTGGAAGCAGCCTTGAAGAAAATACTTCCGTGGACTTCTGGAGGTAAGAGACTTGCTGGTGCTTCTTTCCATCTTGTAAATGTCTGTAAAAATGCTCGGCTGACAAATGTTCTTATTTCTTTTATCTCCTATAAGTGTGTTTAAACCTTGAATGGATGAATGGATGAACCCATTCTTTGTGCCGATTTGATGTTTGTTTTCATGGGGTTAGTCCGATTAATAGTTTTTCACTAGATAGTGGTTTCTGTTTATCTATTCCTTCAGTGTTACTTCCAAAAAAGCACTTCTGTTACAGATATAGTTGTGGTGATACTGTGGTTACAAATAAAAACAGACAAATTGGCTTAAATCCTTAATAACTGGACACATCTCCGCTAACGAATCCACAACGTTTCGTTGCACAGACGACATGTGTAGCACACCACTAACTACTGAAGTGCACCTACGCTCACGGCAGGGCCACATTCAATTCATGTTCCGGGGTTGCAAACTTAAAGATGAACACGACACATAGATTACATCCAGAGGGCCTCTCGCTTTTTGAAAATCGTATTATTCTCTCCCCTACAGTTGCTGTGCCTATCAGTATACAGGTGCTCACGACTGTACCGGTTGCTCTATTTGTATCTCGAGTCGCCAAGACAAGAAATTAGGTTTAACCTTTAATTTATTATTTAAAGTTCTTCAACTTTGAAGCTACAACACTAAAAGTCGATGAAAATATTACTATAATAATAATAATAATAATAATAATAATAATAATAATAATAATATAAACGGTTAGAGTTTGCTAGAACTATTTATGTCTCGAGTCGTCAGGGCAAAAGATAACGTTTAACGTTTTATTTATTATTGAAAGTTCTGCAACAAAGAAGCATACTGGTATATTTTCTTTGATATTGCTGCTCTACGGCGAAAAAACTTCCATGTTATTATTACTATAATAATAACTGCTTCGAAGCTTATCATTTTTTGACGAAATGAAAACATATTTTTTACTTCCATATTTTAAAACAAATTTCATTTAAATTAAAATAGCTTTTGCCGCGAACTTCAGGGTCTGTATGAAGTTCAAAAACATTTACTTTTTCCCCTGCTTGAAACGTTTGTTTTGCTAACGTTCGTGTCAACGTCTCAAGAGGTAGTTAAAGGTTATTTCCTTTCTTAAACAAATATCTTCCAAAGCAATAATACTCGTTGTTCAGTCGAGCTCTCTTATTAAAAATGAAAGAGAATTACATGGGAGTGATATTTTTTATTTGTACGTAACACTCCCTTTTTTGACAACTGAAATGAATTGTGTTTTGCAGTATTTCTTGTTTACTAGTGTATTATTAGACTTCTTGACAACAAGCCATTTCAAATTATGAAAATATATTTGTTAAATGATGTTCAAAAAACAGAGAATCATAATACTGAACATTAGCAAACAAAATTTAGATTGTTTTTCCATTATATTGGGTCCATTTTCTGTCAGAGTCATTCGGTACCAATGTTCCTCTTACTCTCGGATTGAAGCCTCTCATTTATACAGCAAATCACGTGGATTACACTGTGCTGAGTTTGAGTGCAGTGAAGCCCCTAGAGAACACGTTCGATTTGCATCGCCAGTATAATCGTTGAGCTCTGCAAGGCACAGCCAAACACAGCTCACTTCAGTAATAATGGTCAATGAATATTTATAAACACGCTCTGGGCTTCCCATTATTATTTAAGGTGTATATCATGTTTCTGAGGAAGAGAGTAGATAACACATAAGTATCATGATTAAGAATAAATTAAGCCAAAATATATTTAGATGCCTTTTTCTCGTTAACGAAGTCGGAAGGTAAGTCGTGGCAATCACATAATATTTTATCAAATAAAAAAGTATTCTTAAACTCAAATATGGATTCAAAAGAAAGAACAATTTCATTATATTGGCCAAAAATGACAAACAATATTGTTTTATTCAATTTGCACATACTTCACCAACATACTACGTACATATTACAACAATAAACGACAAGAAAAATATTGCCGTCAGTTAAATTATGTGTATAAGATATTATTAAGCTTGTTTGCACAATCATTTTTGCATCATTGTTCTGTATAGACGAAAAAGGGATGTTCATTTCTGAGCGGTTTGTTTCTGTTTCAAAACTAGATGAACGAGCTATAGCGTTTTACACGATGTACGTAATCGAGATGAAAAATATTTACTCTGGCCGCCGTAAAATGAACTGAAAATCAAACAGATGAACTTCTCATCTACGGTTACGAATTTAATCAGGTTATTTTAGGACTGAGCACAGACCGAGGCGACAGTAGAACATAATACATCTACTTAGTACGTAGAACATAGCACATGAATGTTCTCACCACACTCATCACTTCACATTACATCTAACACATTAGAACGACCTCATAACTGCAAAAAAGTAATAAATCACACCTCACGCAGATCAGACGGGGGAATGTTCTGAAAAGTGGCGGCAAGACCTCGGTAATAAAACTAAATGAAATCTGTACTGAAGCATGAGTAATTTTTCTGTTCAAAAGACATTCCATTTACAGCTTCATTTTTCTGTATAGATGAAAATTGATGTAAAAATGATCGTTTAGAACGGTTTTTAGATATTAAGAGATATTTAATACAGAATACACCGCAGTGGTCCGTCCGCCTATCTTACGGGCCACGTACATCTTCACCCTAGGCTTGCGAACTAGGTGAAGGTGAAGGTAATACATAAAACTATTTTATTTAATAATGATTGAATTAGTTAATTATATGTTTACTGTATCAGTAGTAAATATTTCGCAGTCACAATTTTCCCAATTTGGAACAACCTGTGAGAAGAACACGAAGGTGAAAAATGTACAAGTGGGGCAAGCCTGTTGCAACACTGGCCCTCATCAATTCCTTATCTGTCTCCATGTCTCCTACACGTCCCTCCAAATTCGTGATCTGTCAGAACTCTCCCGTTCTAAAAATAAAATAAAAAAAAGAACACGCAAACCTGGTTTTAAAAGGTCTTGAATGTATCCTTTCCGAGTTGTGCTCGATCATGTGTGTTGCAATAATCGGTTTTGTATGTCATTATCAGCAAACTTCTGTTTTTATCTGAAATCTGTTCGATGTAGGACTGGGTTTAATTCTTAACTCATTTCCAGGGTTTTGTGTCGATGGTTTCTTATCAATTGCTAAAAACGATTATCTTTACTTAACTTCTGATAGACTTTACAAAGGATTAGAAAGCTTCAAAAATATGATAATTTGTTACTAAATACCAAAATTAAACAACTACTGGATGTTGCCACAATATATACAAATGAGTAATAAGCACTAAAATAAATTGACTGAACCGTTGCAGTAATTTTCAAAGATTATTTAACGTCGTAAGTGGTTTTAATGGTGGGAATTGTTTTTCTTGTTTTTAACCACAGCTCAGCAATTGAAATAACCATTAAAAAATTAACAACTATCGATATTTTGAGAGGAAGCTTTGAGATTTTTTCATGCCTCTTCCCGCGTTGTAAGAACTAACATTTATTTCTGTTAATCTTTTTCAATAATATTTTTGTCGTTTGAATTCATATATCATATTGTGTGGTTTGAATATTAAAAATTAATTTTCTTGTTTTTCATTTCTTTTTCTTAGAAGAATGTTAAGTTGACGAAAAAAATTAAAATTAAAAAAGCACGTTTTGACTGTAGAAAAGTGAGAGTGATAGAAGGGGACTAAGCAACATGTGAAAAACCTTTTTTATATTAGAGCCATTGTTAAACTAATGAGTCAGTTGATTTTAGAGAACTTTTTACCATCTCATCCGGGGTGCCTTCTGTGTTGATATATTAGCTTTAAAAGAAGTAACTTTCACACCTAATTCGCTACGATTGGTAATTGCTGAGATGGGTTAATATGGACAGAATTTGCGATATATTAATAATGTGTAAGAGTTAATACCACGAGAAGGTACGTGTTGTTATAGCTCTGCTAGTTAATTCCTTATTTTGAAAACCTGATTTCTGCATCCAACCAACCAAATTAACAAAATCTCAATATACGAAGAGGATTCTGAATCAAAGTTAACAAACTACAACAAAAACAATGGCTGTACAAAAAGGCACTTCCAACACATGATCACAGAAACAAAAATTATACTCCATAATATCACTTCCAAACCAATACTATTCTATGGTAGTGATATAAGCAAATCGAAAAAAAAGATAGACAAAGAATTGAAGCAGCCCAAATGAGATACCTGACATCAGTATTAAAAGTGTCAAGGAAAGACAAAATAAGAACAAAAAAGAAATAAGGAAGGATCTAAAAACGAAAAATTCGTGAAGACTTGGTAAAGTACCAAAAGAAATCGTTAGACCATATAAAAATTATTAAACCAACCAGGCTACCAAAACAATCGCTAAAGTATAGACCGAGAGGTGAAAGAGAAATAGACCGACCAAAAAAGAGATGGAAAGACCAGGGCAGCAAGGCCTTGGCAGCAACAAGGGGACTACTAGAAGGATAGGAACAGGTCGTTGGTCTATTCCTAAACAGTTAATTGATGATGATGATTCCAACATCTGCACCTACACTTTCGCGCGTAATTAAAAATACCCTCGCAACGTGGGGTACATTCGCAAGTTCATTCAAAACTACATCGTTTATTCAGCTTCAAAATAATTATCAAGTTTACTACACAATTTCTTCAGCTTATACCACAAAACCAAACCATTTCTTCTAGTAATCATAACAGGCGAGCGCGCGCTGGCCCTACCTGGTCCAGAGCAGGAAGGAGACGGTGTCAGGGTCGGGGGCGCGGCGCGGCTGCAGCCCTTCCAGCACGGCCACCTGCGCGCGGCCCTCGCCCCCGCCCGGCAGCAGCATCCACCGCACGGCGCCGCCTTCCGCCCCCTCCTCTCCCTCCTCGCCTTCCTCCGCCGCAGCCTCCTGGCCTGCGCCGCGCCGCACGTCCATTAGCGCGCGCGTTTATTATTTAGCGCCTCAGGAAGCGCCTGGGGAAACGCGTTCCCGGGACCTTGCTGCCTCGTGGCGGAAGCCCATCAATCATTTTTGCCAAATACGCTACGTCATATCTACCAACTTAATTCTCCTTATTGGCGGAAATGTATGGTACATCAAAAGATATGGACACACATAAAGGATTTAATAATGCAACTTTCATAATGGAATAGGTGTTTTAAAAGATTTCATGCGATATAAGGGGAAAAGGAGTCATCAGTTAACTGAGAGACACACTATGTTAAGCAAATCTATTGCAAAAAGCGATTTCAGATTCTGAGTTGAGGTATGCAAAAAGTTTCTTGTAGATGATACGGGAAGTAACAATTTTCGTTTTACTTGTAACATTTATAATTTTCGAGATATTTTCACACCCTTGATTTCTGAAATAGAATATATATTTTTTGTCAGCATTCCAAAACTTTCTCCATTCTAAATCTTCCGAAGTCAGGAACACAATGTTATAAATATTGTTAATTGTATTTGGCAAACAACCGCAGGTTTGACATATTTTACAAGATGTATGCAGCTGAAGGCTACATAGTGCACCTTTTCTTTAAATAACATCGCAATCATCATTCGAAAAATGAAAATGATCTAACACAAAAATTTCGCAAAAAAGACTAATACGTTAAAAAATGTACCATGAAATGATTGAAATTATACTGGAAAATAGATTGCATCAAGAAATAAATCTTTAATTTTGGGTGCAGGATATGTTCGAAAATAATTTAAATTTTGTCATTTTTATCCAGAAATCAACAGAAAAATTCTGTTTTCAAAAAAGGTTTACATGAAATAATTTGTAGTTCTAAGCATAATTTTCATTATAAAAATATCTAACTTTAATGCTAAAGTGAACGACAGATTTGAAAATGTTTTGAACTATAGATTTTTGCGATATTCCAGAGCTTGTAATAAATGTTGAACCTTTACCATCTTATTAAGGAAATATCGCTCTATTTGAGGAAAAAATTAATTAAAAATTAGAAACCGTTTTCGTTCATTTAATATGCAGTAAATCATTTTTAGAGATTAGATGGCATTAAATGGTGTGTAACATACATCATTGGGCATTTTGAGGAGAAATTTGTAAAAAATTGCTGCGAAATTCATCGCAAACGAAAGTACTGGCTCTCGTACTAGGAGTTAAAGTACGTGCTGTTAAATTCATTGTATTCACGTTTTATATAAATGTGCCAAGGATGTATGATGCGTCTTTTAGCTGTAAATAAAATTATTAGTTTATATTAAAGGGAAATAATAGGCAGTAGTCATTATCGCCTTGTTATCAGTGCGGCGTTACAATGGCTTACAAACAACAAAGACCACTAATTCATATGGGATACTCATTTTGCCAATTGGCATTGTTGAAAGCAAATAGCTAGCAAGAAAATTAAAATAGACATTTTTTTTTGTTTGTTCAAACAAAATTACTCTATTTTTTACATGCATTATTTTTTCTTCTCACATTATGAATCAAAGCAATTTACGCAAAGCAAAGGACGCAATTTTAAATATGTTTTATATCAAGTCTAAGAGATTAATTTTAAAACTTATAACAAAAGCTCGAAGAAGAAGAAGAAGAAGAAGAAGAAAGGAACAAAGAAATTTGAAATTATACACATTCTAACTTACGTAGCATCCAACTGCCTCAAAACACCACTATAATAGCGGGCGATTAAGTTTGGCATCTAATTACTAAAAAAATACGCACTATCAAGAAATTCAACATGACCTTATTTGAAACATTTCTTAAAGGAAAAAATGTTTCTTCATAATTGTAGTTTGAGATAGACATTGAACAAATTTGATTTTTTCAATTTTCGAAAAATTAGAGTTTTCAACCAACTTGAAGTCCACCAACAAAATTTAATCACAATTGATATAGCCATTTTTTGAGAAAAAAGTTCTACAAAAGTATAAAATTATCTGTTGTATTTTATGCAACATTAAGCTAAAACACTCAATTCTCGAAAAATTGAATATGTCATTTCAAAATCTATCTTTAAGGAACATATTTTATTAAGAAAAAAATCTCTATCTTTAATAGTAATGGTCGTAGTAAGATGTCAACAATTTTTTGAATTTTTTGAATTTTCGAAAAATTAGTTTTTAACCAAAATGAAACCTGCTTTATTCTCTTAAACGTCCTTCAGACTAAAGGTCAACAACATCCAATTAAAATCGATGGCGCCATTTTTAAAAAACAATTGCAAAAGGTTACATGTAAAGTACCCTTCAAAATTAAAATATATATTTTAGATTCAAAGGGCCTCGACATCAGCCAAATCGATTTGGGAATATCAATTTTGGAGACAATCGGCTGAACGGTTTAACTTCTAGCGTTGTTCACAGATAGACCGTGCAAATCCATGTAAATCTCGACGTCAATAAATTGGAGCAAACTAATATGCATCAATATTTTGCATTTTGCATTTATTCGTCCTACATATTCTAAAATAATTTTTTTTGTTATCTAAGCAACATGCCGGAGTGGAAGAACGTATTCCAGATAATTTTTTCGTTTTGGTGGAAAGTGCTTGTTCATATCTTGCTTGTTCACATATAATTGATATTTCTAATTGCGTTTTAGTTTTCGTGGGTTAACAATGCATTGAGCGGATTGTAAGTGATCCTGAAGTCTGTCAAAAATTGTGCAAGTGACAATTATTATTAACTAAAATAAAATTTATTTAATCTGTTATAGATTTATCATGATAACTGTTTTGCGACGTCAAGTGTTTCACAACGCTATTTTCTAATTTTAATGGCATACTAGAGATTAAGAGAATGGCTGTAAAATATTATACTCGTACAATATTTAATGTATTCCTGTAGAAAGTAAATCATGAAAAGATGAGGATTCTAAGAACATGACCGCTTAATAAGTTAACGAATCAAATATCAAATATACATTCTAATATATACAAGCGTGTCCATGCAAAATGTGAATGGGATCGGGCTATGATTATTTTAATTGATTGAGCAATAATTGATAAAAATATATTTCGTTATTGTCAATACAGAAACTCATGAAGATACGTAAATGATATCGAAGTAAGATAGCAGTACAATTAAGTATAGTTATGTTGAAGACACAAAATTGATTTCGATTTCTCTCCAATGAGCGAGAAGCAATGATAGCAGTCAAGGGCAGACACTCTGGCTGAAAACTCAGAACACATGATTTCCATTGAAATGTACAACGCTCTTTTTCTAAAGTTTCCTTTCAAATTTTAAAAGCTATAAACTACATATATCTTTAACAACGTGGCCCAAACAACTTGGCACAAACGACTATTTTTTTGTTATTTAAGGTCGCATCGACATCTAGATCATTAGCGACCACTATTGCATTTAACGATATTGTAACTATGAAGGTAACATCATATGGTGATGACAGGGGGTGAAATGACAAACATATACAACCGCACGAGGCGGGATTCGAGCCCGCGAATCTTTGTTTCGAGATCACTACGGCACTATTGCATTAACAATCTCGGCGATCCGGAACGGCATACAAACAACTTTGCGATTCCTCAAACCGTTTTGAAGGTATTGGCTGTGGCCAACCTAGGTATGTCACCTGTATTCATTTCATTTTGTACAACACATAACGTAAATGTAGTCTAAATGTCTAAAATATCAAAATAGTAATTAACGCAGTTTCTTGTAATACAAAACGTGGAAGAAATAATATTGAGGGCCCGATTGAATGTTTTCAAGCATTCGTTCCCATTCGGGGAGTTTCTAGCAGTCAAGCTCTAGTAGTTTAAGAATGCCTTGACTGCGGATTGCTACGAAAGATTTGAGCTTTCCCTCCCTGGGGGAAGGGGTGCATCAATGTCTTTTCTCGGCAGATGGCAGTGCATAACGCTTCGACGAAAGGCGTGTCCGTGCACACTTTCTTGCAGGTGAAAGTCATAAGCAGAGACATTACTGCCGTTCTAACACGCGGGAACTCTCGCTCGCACCATGAGTCCTTGGGTGAAAAACGCGCTTAATGTTCGTGTGAATCACTAGTCAAATACTCAACCATTTATTTATCAAAAGGTTTTGCCTAACAATTGCCGAAATGAACCGCAAGTAATTGCCGAAATGAACCGCAAGTAATTGCAAACAATTACCGAAATGAACCGCTCCATGTAAATGAAAGCAACTTTCTAGTAGTTTGTAGCCAATAGAAGATGCAATATAGAGCTTAAAAGTAGTTTCATTACTTTGAAATTCACAAAATTGTATTTTATTAGGAATTAGTTTTAGCAGTAGTAGTATTTAAATTGAACATTTAAAAATTTGTGTATAATTAACCATATCTAATCGATAGTACTTCAGTACGACCACTGTGAAAAAGATCCAATCACTTACGCAGAATCTCTCGAGTCCACTGCTAAAGCCACGCAATACGATGCACGTGTAACGATATGAATCGGTAAAGTTTGCGGGGCGCTTTACCTGCTGCGATGCACGCGCTGAGCCACAGCAGGGCGAGCCACGCGAAGGGCGTCATGTCGGCGGGGCGGTCCCATCCCGCGCCGGGGCGGCTCTTATACACGGGGTTATCGGCGAACACAGCTTGGGCAGGGCTGGGCTAGGCAGGGCGGGGCGCTGGGGGAACGGAGGAGTGGGGCGGGTCACAGTGCGGGGGGCGGCTGGGCCAGACGGGTCACCACCCAGCGACGCGTCGTCCCTGCAAAGCGAGCCCTACTTGTATCAACACAACCCCGCCCAATTGTGGCCCATTTCGTGCTTGTCCGTATCTATCCGTGCCTTTACTGTCCGCCCCCTGCCGACCCACCACTTTGTCTTACCCAGTTGAACACGCCAGCTCCTGGTAGCTCCAGACTGTCACCATAGTTGTGTGCCCGTTGTCGTTTATTCTCTCTATCCTCTTCAGTTCCTTCAATCTCATTCGTACTGTTCTGCCCCGCTAGTTCGTAACCTTTCCGTAC